CACCAAGCAGTTGGCCCTCCTCTGAACCCTCTCCAGGCTGGCCACATCCCTCTTGAAGTGCAGGTCCCAGTACTGGACACAGTACTCCAGCTGTGGCCTGACCAAAGTCGCAGAGAGGGGGAGTATCGCCCCTCTGGACCTGCTTGAGATGCATCTTTGGATGCATGACAAGGTATGGTTGGCCTTGCTGGCTCATGTTCATCTTGGAGTCAATAATGACTCCAAGATCCTATTCCACCTCTGTGCTTTCAAGAGGGGAACTCCCCAGCCTGGATGTATGCTGTGGATTCCTTCTCGCAAGGTGCAGCACCCTGCATTTGTCTACATTGGACCCCATCCTATTCTCATCTGCCCACTTTTGTAGTCTGTCTAAATCAAGTTGCAGCCTCTCTCCTTTCAAGTGTGTTCACCTCACCCCACATCTTAGTATCATCAGCAAACTTGGACAGCGTGCTTTTCACCCCCCATCCAAGTTGCTGATGAAGATGCTAAACAGTGTGGGCCTGAGGACCGAGCCCTGGGGTACCCCACTGCTCACATCTCACCAGGCTGAGTACAACCTGTCCACCACTACTCTCTGGGTGCGCCCCATCAGCCAATTTTTTACCCATCCAACTATGTAAGCATCAATGCCACGATTGCTTAATGTATTGATGAGGATGGGGTGAGAGACAGTGTCAAAGGCCTTCTTAAAGTCTAGAAAGACTATGTCTATGGCAACACCATCATCCAAGGATTTAGTCACCTGGTCATAAAAGGCAACCACGTTGGTCAGGCAGAACCTGCCTTTGATGAACCCATGCTGGTTGCCCCTGTGCATGATTTCCCCTGCTGGCCCCCCACAGATGTGCTCCTTGATGATTCTCTCCAAGATCTTCCTGAGCACCGAGGTGAGGCTTACAGGCCTATAGTTACTTGGGTCCTCCTTCTTCCCTTTCTTGAAAATTTGGACCACATTAGCCAGTTTCCAATCCCCCGGCACCTGGCCAGAAGACCACGAATGCTCGTATAGTCGGGCCAAGGGCTCTGCGATGACCCTGCCAGCTCCCTCAACACCCTTTGGTGGAGGGCATCTGGACCTGCAGATTTAAAAATGTCAAGCTCTTCCAGAAGATCCCTAACTACATCTGCGCTGACTGAAGGCCTGACGGAGCTATCCCTGAGACTGTCCCTACCTCTGGTAGGTGGGATGTCCTGGTCCCTGTTCAAGAAAACAGAGGCAAAGGAACTGTTAAAAATATCAGCTTTCTTGTCTGGCGTAGCCACAAGATTACCGTTTGCATCTTGCAGGGGCCCTACATTGCCTGGTGCCCTCTTCTTACTCTTTGGTGCATTCTTGTATTTGAGGGTGCATTCCTGTATTTGGGGGGGTGTCACCCTTTTTTTTTCCTATTCCAAACACTCCTTGAAAAGAAACCATCTGAAAATCACTAATGGCATGTAACAGCTCAGGCACAGGACATAGTAAGTGCAGTTGAGTGGGACACTTGAAATTCATCTGTCTAGCAAACTCAGGCATAAGGTACCCTTAAAACCCATCTTATTAACTAGTCTAGTAACAGGGGACTCTCAAACTCACTCAACAGCAAGCTCAGGCTTGGAGACCCTGGAAACTCACCTCATCAGTGCGCATAGGAACTTTATGGCTAAGTGAAGGTTGATGGCCAGGGTCAGTCTTCAGGTTCTCCCCAAGCCAAATAATACTTAAAGGAATGATTGGGCTTGTATACAGAACAATCCTCAATTCTGCAAGATACTTGTACATGATTGTATAGCAACATAGAAAAGGAAGCCAAGAAGTCTCCTGAAATGAAATGTCCATTCAGAATGAAAGCACCATAACCAGGGTTCTTCCGGTTATGTGTTATATATAGAGCTGGTGCTGATGATGACACAGAGGTCCTATAGTATCCTAGCAAGTTGCTTAAACCACACATTTCACAGGTGATCACTGCTTGTGTATGCTGCTTTTTACTTCAGCTGGCAGCTCCTCTATGGAGCTGTCGCCGTGGGAGTGTATCTGGTGTGGTTCATGGATGCTCCAGACACCTGCCCCTTTTGTGAGAAGGGGGAGACTCTGGCGCACACCTACCCAGACTGTGCCAGGCTGCAGCCCCTGCACTGCCTCCTCCAGAACCTCTTGCTGAGGTTCTGGCTGCATTATTCCTCTCACCTCTTCATTTATGCACTACCTATCCATGATCCCACCAAGTCCTGGGACCTCCTGGTCAACCTCCTCCTGGCCCTAGCCAAGCTGGCTGTGAATCTGACCAGGAAGGAGGCTCTGACCGGGAGGGTCTCTGGGAACTGTGGGGCCACTTTCTTTGCCCGTGTTCATTCCCGTGTCCAAGCAAAGTATCACTGAGCAGTGTCTACTGGCTTCTTGGACTCATTTGAGGGCCAGTTGGCACTATCCGGTGTACTCTGCTCGGTTTCCCCCCCCTTGGCATTCTTGTTCTGAACCTTAGCCCTTCACTCCTGGCCCTGTTTTCATTATTATTTGTTCAAAGTACTCACTTCTCCTGTAGCCTCCCCAACTGAGGGAGCCCATTAAGTTACTTGGTGGCCCTAGGCTCATGCCCCTTAATGTGACAAATAGGCCTGGCAAGTTGCATAGGACCACATATTAAATGAAAAGAACAAAGTACTGAATATCTGTTTAGCACAGTATATGGTGCATCTGTACTCTGATGTGTGTAATGTATATACATTATAGTATATACAGTATATATGGCACAAGACCATGAATATAAAGACTGTACCATACTACATATGCAGAAGTGGACTGAATTAAGGTTGCATAAGCAGCATTTTCTAAAGTAGTTTCTCCCTAGAGCAGTCTTGGTTCTCAAGTATGGTACTGCCCCTTTTTCAGTATTATTCACTCCTTTACTCATTTTTCAGGGGTTTCCCAGCCTACCTTAAGACCAACGAGCTCTGAATTCTGTAACATCTGAACTCCTGCTTAGGGGATAGGTGAGTAGATAATGCCACCTTTATTCTGTCGCATCCTAACTTTTGAATGCTTAACTTTCAATCTTTATCACCAAGGGCTTTCCATACTGTTTCTCCTCCTGTGCAGCGGAGATGACAGTTGTCAAACCCAAAACATGTATGCTATTGCAAGTGTACTGCAGTAAATCAAAACGTTACAAGGATGCGTGTTCCCTTTGCTCAGCCGTGCAGAGATGTGCAAAAAGTCTTAATACTTGTCAATTGTTTTCTGTAAACACTTGTTTGTTTTTTTGCAAGAACATTTGCAGAACTTGTGTAGGTGTATGCATACAAGAGTTCACACTGGAAAAAGCTTACTCTGTTATTCATAAACATTGCAGTTATCCAGTTAAGCAGGAGCATTTAGGCCACAGGTGACCAATTACAAAGCACAAATAATGACATGCATAATAAACTTTCAAAGCTATAATCATAATGCATAATTATGCAGAAATATGGAGTTTGAAATATTTCATATTGGTGTAAGTATTTTGTTGAACAGCTTTGAATACCTAATAACTGTGTAATTAGCAAAACCTGAGATAGTCTGCCAACTCAGTTACTAATAGGTCTGGTGATTACTGATGGAATTTCTTGAGTGTATTTTAACAACCCTTGCCACAGATAGTACTTTAATCCACAGCACACAAGGTGTTTGGGGCAATGTAGCTTGTAGCTGTATGAGAGGGTTGTTCATATACAGGTCTTAGACAAGCAGTTGCATGGGTGGTTTGGATAGAGAAGATCCTGCCTTGAGCAAGGGGTTGTATTAGCTAACCTCCTGAGGTCCCTTCCAGCCCTACTTTTCTGTGATTCTACAATATTAAATCATTGACTCTAATCAAACTTCCAGCAGTTGTTTCAGATATTAGGAAGATGCCACATTAGAGATTAGCAGTGTTAAGAAAAGTAACAAAATCTTGAATCAAGTGGATCATTTAACCAAAGTTAACTTTTGATGAAACTACAAAATTAGAAAAAATTACAGTCAATCAAAATTACAGATATATTCAAAAGGGGGCACTGAAGATATCTTTTTATCACAAAATATTTATAATATGCTGCAATACCTGTGGAATAACTAGATGCCAGTCAGGGAAATGTTAATATGTCAGTTTTTATAGTTGCGGGTTTTTTTTCTTGCAGATTATTTGTTGAATGCCGTGTTGACAATTTCTTGGAAGGTGCTGCAAGCACTTGATCTGAATTGCAAGAGACTAGAAATTTGCCATTTCATCCTACTACCTTTCTCTCAGTGTTGTGTAAATTCTCTGATTAGCTCTCTTCTAGTTAATAGGTAAGTAAAGAACAACAAAAACAATTTAAAAAAAGTAACAGCTCTGAGTCTCATTTATGATGCGGTCACGTGATACTGCTCTGAATGAGGTCTCTTTGCATAACCAAAGCAGATTAAAGTGGCCTGAATGTAAATGATAAGAGGCTGCAAGATTAAAAGAAATAACTTTGTTAAATGGAGTATAGGCCTGAATCTCATTCACACAGAGGACCTGAATTTTATTTGCACTGCTATGTGAGCATAATGTGTCCCTAGAGTGGTTGTGAATTCCATTTACATTCACAATAAGGCCAACTTATATTGCCAAAGTGGTACAAAAGGGCCTTAGGGAAAATAAAAATCAGAGCTTTATTTTCTTTTGAATCAAAATAAACTAAGTTCTTTGACCTGAGAAACAACATAAGAACTAGGCAAATAATTTGCAACAAAAAGTTTTATTTTATAATGTTTACCTGTTGAATGTTTTTTGAACTCTGAAATATTCTAAAGCAATAGCTCACCAAAATTCACTCCATCATGGTTCATTGCTATGGTGAGGGCTAGTAACATCTCAAAGTGGTTAGAAGGCTTAACAAACATTTCTCAGCTGGGTACCTTGTTTTTTCCTGCCTTCTCTTTTTTTGTCTCATTCTGATAAACCACTGCCTAGTTTACCACCTCTAAACAAGCCACCCCTTATATTAATTAGTCATCAAAGCTTTTACTTGTGTCACTTGTGTTTACTGAAGATGAAGGACACTTATCTTAAATGATATATTTGGAAGCTCACAGGGATTGAACATTTGGCAAATTAACTTTTCAAATTGTTTATTGATGTGGCCTGTGGCATTCATTTACATTTTATGTCAGCAGTTTTATACTGTTTCCTAAGATGAAATTCTGCATTCACAGAGATATGTAAATATCTCTGACAAACATATGATTATACAAAACACTGTGCTTCACTTCTTTTACTGTGATACTATCTAATTCCTATAAATGACCATCCATTATTTCTTTCTTAGACCACTGCAAAATGAGCACCTCGGAACCAAGTTTGACAACCGAATTTGATTATGAAGATCTCCCTACACCATTTGTAAACAGTTCTGCAAAAAATTTTGGGACTTGGTTTTTGCCACCACTTTATTCTCTGGTGCTGATTTTTGGCCTTGCGGGCAATGCATTAGTTGTTCTGATCCTGATAAAATACAAGAGACTGAAAAGCATGACTGATATCTATTTGCTAAATTTGGCCATCTCTGATTTGCTTTTTGTATTTTCTCTACCATTCTGGGCATACCAGGCAGCACATAAATGGATTTTTGGAGATGCAATGTGCAAAATTCTTTCCTGGATCTATTCCTTTGGCTTCTACAGTGGAATCTTTTTCATAATACTTTTGACAATAGATAGATACCTAGCAATTGTCCATGCAGTGTTTGCTTTGAAAGCTCGCACAGCTGTCTATGGCATCCTTGCAAGTGTAGTTGTTTGGATTGTTTCTGCACTAGTCGCTGTTCCAGGGATAACATTTTATGGTACTGGAAATAATAATGCGGGCTGTAGCCTTAACCTTCCAAGTGATAAAATGAGGCAATGGAAGCAATTCATGACTTTACTGATGAACACCGTTGGACTTTTTATTCCTTTGATCGTTATGATCTTCTGCTACACTGCAATTATAAGGACACTACTGAAATGTAGGAATGAAAAAAAAAACAAAGCAGTTAGGCTTATTTTTGTCATAGTGATTGTTTATTTTCTCTTCTGGACACCATTCAACATCGCTCTTTTTGTGAAGACTTTTTCAGGTTCCCTTGATAATGCTAAGGCAAGCACTCAAATTGATATTGCAATTCAAGTAACAGAAACAATTGCCATGATCCACTGTTGTATCAACCCTGTGATCTATGCCTTTGTTGGTGAAAAGTTTAGAAAATATCTTTCTACCTATTTCCGAAAACACATTGCAGTCCACCTTTGTAAACAATGTCCATCTCTTTACCGTGATAAGTTAGAACGAGTTAGTTCCACATTTACTCCATCTACTGCAGAGCATGACGTTTCCATTGGTTTGTAAAATACAATAGGACGTGTCATTAGTCAGTTTCAATCTTTTTCACCTAAAAGATTTTGGAACTAATCAAAACATTTGAGATCATCACCTTCAAGGATCTACAATTACAAATAGGTAATTTTTTCTCTGGCATTGCAGTATTTCCCATTCTCAGTATAGGTAAAGTACAAGTCTCACAGGGAAGGTAAATAGTTTAGTAACCCAAAGTAATGTGATTTTCTTTAGAGACAAATTCTAGCCAATGTCATGTGATTCCCTTATGAAGTATGACTGAGAAGGTGGTTTGATGAAGACAGGGAAGGAGAGATATTATGCAAAGCAGTTATGTAAAGAATATAAGGAAAACATTGTGAGGTT